TTTGTTTACCCCGACATTTTTTTGGGTCCATAAACCATGTAAGTAAAAATTCATAAAAATTTACTCATTTATTTGGTAAAGGCATGTGTCATTATTCATATGATTATATTCAGGTATGATTACATATTATATTAGTACATAAATCCACGAAAATAAAAAACAACATTTATCAAAACTCATTACATTAGATCTTATTATTAAACCAATAGTAAAAATCTAAATTGTTTTTTAAGCATTTTTGTCACTCTGATTCAATAGCTGACATTGTACTTTGGCACTCAGTGCAAATGACAAGCAACTTGCTATGTTTGGTATTTTCTCAATGTGTTTATGAAAGTCAGCCATTTTGAATTAAAATAAACTTAAATTATTTTTATTCACATTGATTATTATATCTATATTATAAATAATAAATGTGGTCACATTATAGTTATTTGAAAAATAAAAAAAAGTAAATAAATATTTGTAAAATTTAAAAAAAAACGTAATTAATACTGTGGGGTGTTTGGACACCCCACTGAAAACTGTTGTTTTTCTCTTACTGGAATTTCTGCAGCATCGTAGTAATTTCTGAGCATGCTCTATACATAAAATCATGAAGCTACTGAAGAGGACACAAATATTTCTTGCGAAATCTATGAATAGTGCAACTTTTAAAACGTTGGGGGTGGTGAAACACCCCACTGCACTAGCCCAGGGTTAATCATGGGTCTCACTGAACTGCTGCCACAAGCATGAAACCACTCTAGAATGAATATTCAAGTCCCTTACAACTTAAATGTGAGACTGTTCAGCTTCAGTTATACTATAGCTGACTCCATTATATTAAGTTTATTATATGTATATGAGGTGTAAGAAAAGAATTTTCATACAATAAAAAGTATTTTGCAGTCACTGAGAAAAAAAATGCCCATTATATTATCAGTCAGGTTTATGTACACAATTAATTTACTATTTGTCAGCTTTCTGCTTTCCAATATGTAAATCTTACTTTGAATATATGTTTCTCAAGTAAATTTGGATACATAACACAAATATTGCTATATTTTATTCAGTTCTTTTGGTAAATCAACAAAAATTATAACCCAAATTTTAATTTTGAATAACAGTGTATCTACTTATGTATTAATATCAAAGATAAATGATAGATGGTTATCACAATTCCTGTTTCAACTGCTTTCAATAGTACAGAGATACAATAAAAATTATTCTAATAAATATTAACAAAGCAATAACTGAAATTTAAGTTGAAATATACATTTTTTAATGCCTTCATATATTAATCTCTAACAACCAAGATTAAAAGAAAACATTAAAACTAAGTTCTTTATCACTGATATCAATTCTGTATTAATCACTTAGCTTTTTCAAATAGAAAAAGTTAGGAATTTTCTATAGTGTTTCATTTTAAAAATGTCTTAATATTGAAAAAATGAAACACTACAGAAATAAAATCTGTCAAACAAAATATGTTAAATTATTCTTATATTTTAATATATTAAACTTTCACAAACAAGAATAATTTAACACAATTTAAGAAAACAAGTTTGTATAATGATATTGATCCATTGTAATTGCACTTTTAACAATTTTTTTAATCGGATTTTTATAAATTCAAACTAAATCTTAAAACACCAGATTAATTAAATATAAATGAATAATTTTCTTTCTTTTATAATATATATATTTTTATACTTCTGTAATTATAAACAAGCATACCATATATGTAATACACATACATGGCATGCCACTTTACTGTTGATACATTATTTTGACAGTCATTTGTAGTTGTTTTCATTTTCCTTAATTTTTCACCACCTAAACTTACAGGGATAGCTAAGTAATTAAGTGTATATTAAAATAAATATCATTAATATTAAGTTACGTTTTAATAATTAATTGGCAAATACTTAATGTAGATTAAGTACAGATATTTTGTTTTCTGCTGAAATGAATATATTGTAAAACAAGCCTGATCAACAAATTAACTGTAATTGACTAGTTGATTATAATGTCATTTTTGGTCAGTCATAAATAAAGGCACTTATTTATGCTTTTTCAAAGCTTTTTATTGCTTATATTCAAAGCTTTTTTGAGCCAAAAAAGCATAGTATTCCTTGTATGTTCAGAGACACTCTCAGAGACTTACAGAACTAAGCCTAGCCTATTTCAAAGACAGGTTCTCTGAATCTCTAGACTTTTCCTCAAAGATTGTTTCTGAGTAGGCATAATCTTTGCTCACACAAATAAATAAAATTCATTTAAATACAGTTAGGCCTAACAAATCACAAACACAATACGTAATGGTTCAAAAAACTCGCCATATGTACAGTACACATAGTGCCATCTAACATGATGATGCCACCTTTTTTAATGCCTCAAAGATTTTACTAATTAACTAATTATTTTTTAATGTCAGTTCTTCCAATATAATAGTAAACTTCAATAATATACCCTTCTTGTAGATAATTCTTTGACAGGAAGTACAAATTCATGTGTCACCATCTAGTGTAGAGAGAGAAATAGACAGACAGAAATCCATTACAGTTTAATTTAATTAATGTAGACTTTGAGATGATTTGTAGCTATAAACCTTCTCTTGAACTGACAGATTTAAAATATGAAGTTTGGTTAAAATATGTTCAGGCATTTTCCTGTGATGCGGCAATAAACTTTTGAGTGCTACAGTTTTATTTATGTAGAGTTTAGTTTTTCACTAATTTATTGTCAATTGCTAAAATTGTTTGAAAACTCTAAAAAAAAATGTATTGTCTTTGTGAATACATATATATGCAAAGTTTCAACTAGATCAGAAATTGGAAAGTGGGTGAAAATTCAGTTATTTTATCAGAATAGACATTAAATTATCAAAAGTAAATAAGACAGACAGATGGAGTAAGTAAATAAAAAATGAATAAAAAAATAAAAAAATTCATACATTTATAATCTTGTGTTTTGTTTTATGTTTTTTAAAAATCTAAGAAAGTCCATCCAGACAAAATTCTACATTCAAAAAGAGGATATATATGCAGAAAAGAGAATGTGTGGTAACTCTAAATTTATAAAGTTCAAGTTAAAATATTCATTTCTTTCTAACAAGTACAAAATTTCATAACTAAAAATAATTATCTACATATTATAACAATTTCTTAATTTTAAATTTGTTGTAGATTTTGTATTAATTGAAGGTTAACTTATTACTGTATAATAAAAAGTCAGTATGAAGGATTATTGTTGTATTTTGCAGGTAACAAGTTTCAGTAAGTTTATGTGATTGTTAATAATTCATAAACACCTAACTCTTTTTTACACAATTTATGTTCTTTAACACTGTGCAAGAAAAAACTAGTCTTTGTTTTTTTATGTATGTTATTCCCTCTGATACAATTTAAAAATTATCATCAATGTGAGCAAATGAAACAAAAGGAAGAGAGTTATATGAACTAATAACTTATTTTTCATCAAGGTTTTCAAGTATTGCCTCATTCAATCAGTTCATTTTTGAAGTATCATTAGCTCACAACATTTTTGTCAGAGTGAAGTGCATAAGGTGTGCTATTAGGTGTATTAAAAAATAAAAAGATAGATATTTTTTACAAGTTTGTGGTACTATTTTAATTAGAATTTTTACAGTAGATTACGAATAAAAATGTCTAAAATTACAAAGGAAAAGAAAAGCCATTCATTAGAAACAAAAATAAATTTTTTTTTTTTTTTTTTTAGAATTAGAAGAAACAAGAAGACGACATGGTTTCGACAAATAAATAAAACAAAAATTAATTTCTCGAACCACCTTGCGAGTGGTGAAGGTTTAACATCTGTGGGCAAAAGTTTTGGCCTAAAATTTGGTGCAAGAGTGGAAAAATCATTTTTTAAAATTAATCCAAGTGTAGAATATGCTCTAAAATTCCAACAAGATCAAATTTGTTTAGCTGGGTACCAAGAATTGTACAAGGAACTTGCAAAACCAAAAGAACAAAAGATAACAGATTTTCTAACAAAAAAGTCAACATCATAAGAACTTTCAGAAAGTAGTCAATCTATTCAAAATGTTATAATCAGACAAAAATCTTCATTGGATTCAAACTTGGCAGATATGGTAATCTCACTAGTGAGGATAATGATTTTGATCCACTTGATTGTAAACGTATTATTCGTCGCTATTATGAAAAAGTGACAAATATTATATTTTTTATTGAAAATATTTAATTTCTTCTTTTTGCAGTATTAATTTTATTTTAGTTAGAATATAATTGAAATGTGTATAAATTTTATTTTGCTGTCAAATATGCACAGTAAATGTATTTTATGTAGATGAGTAGATATGTATGCACATATATGCTTTTGAATCTTTTTACACTGTTTTTTCAGTGACATATAGTTCTTTATTTCATCTTACATAGTTTTTTAATAACTTTGAACACATCTCCCATTTTACTACAGGAAACACATCTTTCTTTGCAGTTTTTTACATGAGTTTTTGAGAAAAGTATTTTTCTTGTAAAAAAATTGAGAATATATACTAGTGAGGCACTTATTTATGCTTTTTCAAAGCTTTTTATTGCTTATATTCAAAGCTTTTTTGNTCCACATTAAAAATTTTATTACTAATTAATTACTTTTGTTAAATAAATGCAACTTTAAAAGAAACAGAGCATTAAATATTCCTTAGTGTAATAAAAAAAATATATTTAATTTAAATAAATCAGGGTTTTTAATTAATATATGGCAATCAAAATTAACTGTTAACAGAGATAATACCAATTATAATTAATTATGTCAAATATTCAATTTTATAATTACATTTCCCAGAGTGTTTTTCACACAACCATGTTTTTACATTTGTAATTTATAATATAAAATACTTTTTTTAGATTCAAATCACTATTTCAGAGTATTAATTGAAAAAACTAATACTTTTAATTGTAATTTACTTTATTTATTCATATTGATCTATAATTCAAATCTATATCTAGATTCAATTTTAAAATTTCACTTACTTTGCACATCGAAAAACTTGATTACATGGCTTAAGTGGATAACCATTTAAATAGAATATAATTTTGTACTTTTCCAGGTCTAATAATGTTCCCAAGATATCTCCTGTTTAAAAATTTCTTTAAATTTTATAAATTTATCTACATTTATTTTCAGTATAAATTAAGAATTTGTATATACCTGGTTTCCATGCGGGATGACTGTGAGGATGGCTAGATGCATTGTACCAAATTACTTGCCTGCAACCATCATATGCTAGAGAATATTCATCATCTCCAATTCCATATCCTTCCTAGTAATTAAAAAAGAATATTTTATTTAAATATTCATAATGTATTATATATATAAATTTTTTAGTATAATGTCCATATTTTATCAGACTTTTATCTGATTTAATATACTGTCCATATTTGAAATTTAATTAGGCAAAACGTAAGTTCCTAACGTAACATATTTACACAATTTTAGTTTATGTTAGATGATAAATTGTATATTGGATGTATATTGGATTTACATATAATTATTCTCAAACAAAGCTTCAAGACACAATTGTTTCATTTTAAAATGTAAATTTCTATATTAATTAAATAAAAGATATTCATGTGTTAAAAATTGATGTGTTATATATTTAGCCAATCTTAATTATTAAAAGTTTTTTCAAACCAAATTCTGAGAAGAATTTTTTTTTTTTGGAATTAAAATACAATAAATTAGTACAAATACCAAATTCCTGTTATGAGAAAATTTTTAAACAGATTGTTATTTAAAAATTATGTAAAATACAATAAATACTAAGTAACTAATACTTTCACCTGTATTAAAAGATTTTGTCAAAAAATGTCAAAATTTAAATACAGTATAACCTACAAATGGTGAACATCATCAGGACCAACTTTGTCCACTATTTAGAGGTGTCCACTACATGCCTCAAAGGTGCATGCTGATGAATTCTAAATAGCAAACAGATTGTATAGGATACTTTAAATGGAACATAAAAAATTACAACAAAACACATTGTTTAGTTATTAATTCATTGAAAACAATCTGAGAGGAAGTAATGGGGGAGAATGAAACTGTTATTATAAACAGAAAAGTGGACAAAAGTCAGGTTTAGGTGATGAGAGTTTGAATATCAAGTTATGAAGGCAATTTACTAGCGACTTCAAGGGGTAAGAAATGAATTGGTATTCTTGCATTTATAAATGTCATTTATGATCTAAGTGACTAATAAAAATCTATATAGTGATTTGTCCATTTTGTAATTATCAAGTACAGTCGATCCCCCTATAATTACGATTCCTATAAAACTACGAAAAAATATATGTATTTTGGAAATGTTGAGTCGGATTAGTGTAGAATCGATTAATTTTATGGAAGAAAACCTTTCAATCAGCCGTAGTCCGTAAACTTGACACGTGTCGGGCTGTGATTGGAACGACTTGTAAGAAATCGGATTCCTAATAAATTGGAACATATCTATATCTTATAGGGGGGTCGACTGTAGGTGTAATTTTTTGAACATTTTTGCTGTTTTCAATAAATGATTTATTAAAAATTATTTTAGTCACCACAAAGCATTTAAGATCATAACTTATGTCATAAATTTGAGAAAAACAAATATCTTCCTACACTTTAAAATGATTGGCAAATTGCCTTAGAACTTTCAACAAATAAATGCTGTTGTTTTAACCTTAAAACTTTCTTTTTCATTACTACTGTACTACAGTTCTTGTCAGATGAATGAATAACTTTGGAAAAGTCTATGGTTTCTTGGTATCTAAGCTTAATTCTAACAATAAGACAGAGGTTTAGTAGCATTAATATGTGCGACGATAAGTGGTGATTGACAACTTAACCAGATTAGTCTTCCCTAACAGATAAAGAATATTGTTTGGTTTTTACAACCTGCCCTCCTCTCCTATTCCTATTTTAAGCCTGTCTTTATTCAACATCTATGATCAAAATTCATTGTCTGAAAGAGTATTTGAACTGATTTGTTGTTTTAGTTTTAAAATATTTCATACATAATTATTTCAGAATATTGAAGGCAGGACTGTGTTTTTGTAAGATAGGTTATGGACAATGATGTATGTTATTTAGTCTTCACTATTTAAAGGTAAATATTATAGATGTCCTATTTGATGGGTCTGGGGACTGTAAAAATGTCTGTTAAATAGAGGTGTCTGCTATTCAGGAATGTCTGAGGCTTCCATGTATATTCAAAAAATTAATTCTTAAAAAAACTAGAAACAGACATTTTTTATGAACTATTTTCATAAATATTCATATTTCAATTATTTACATTAGAAATAAGATCTGCAGCAATCTATTTTGCTTTAAAATATTAACAAAATTTTAATCAGGATTACAACTAATCCCAAACCATATGTACAAATTAAATATTTTCTTGTTTTTAATTATATCTTTTTTATATTTGTTTATGATTTTAACATTGTAAATGAAATAAAAATTTTTGAATACATTAAATAATTTGTGAGTTACATTTTCTTCAAATGCTACTATTCTTTTTTACAGTTACAGTATAGTTTATTCATCTATATCAGGGGTCTGCAACCTGCGGCTCTTTGGATGTGAAGCTGCGGCTCTTTAATTCCATATTCAAATATTTATTTTATAAAAAAAAAAAAACATTTAAAAATCGTTCCGAATCGATTAACGAGGATTACGCACCGATTCTATCTCTCAGCCACTTGTACTCGCTTTTCACCGCACCCCTCCCCCGAGACACACGTCGTCACTGTCGTCAGTCCGTCAGAAGCTCTCGAATGACGCCGTCGTCGGATGTTTCTATTATCTAATTTGTTGTGAAAAAACACTACTTATGTATGAATAAATAGATATTTTTTTCTTATGAATAAATAGATTAGTTTTTTTATCAAAAAACTTTATTTATGCGAGTACTATTTATTGTTGGCAAGAAAAAATTTTGTGGCTCTTTAAAAACTTTGAAATTTTGTAAATTGTAATTTTGGCTCTTCCGACTCAAAAGGTTGCTGACCCCTGATCTATATAAATAAAAATGTAATATTTGTTTGTTCCTAATAGCTAATCTCCGAAAGTTCTTCACCGATTGCTTTGAAATTTTCACACAATGTTCCATTCGAATACCGGTGTGTTTTTATATAATATACATGTCGAAATTCCCTCTCCCCACGAGTTAATAATAAAAAAAAAGTTATTTTTTAATGAAATCTCATAACAGATGGCATCACACACAATTTTAACTTCGTACTAGTGTGTCTTAGTTTTTCTTAAGCAAATATTTTTCGCCTGGAAAATTATGAAATATTTAGCTATAAAAGTTTAAAAATTAATTAAATTGTATTTACAATTCCATATTTTTTTGTTGACTATTGCCATATAGTTCAAGAGACATTTCTGAGAACGAAACTTCGGTTCAAGACATTAAACTTACAGGAGATGTGCTCTCATAATAACATTTTCTCATGATCCAACTACGTGGTAAGAGTGGGGATACTACCATATACGTTTTAATCAGAAAAATATTTGAATTATTTTTAAAGGTAATTTGATGTTTAAAGAGGAATTAATCTATATAAATAAAAATGTAATGTTCGTTTGTTCAAAATCTTAAATCTCTGAAAGTTTTTCACTGATTGCTTTCAAATTTTGACACAATGTTGCATTCAAATTTGTGTGTGTTTTTATATAATTTAGATGTCAAAATTCCCCCCGCAGGGAGAGGGACAGGATTAAGGCTTACCGTAAAGAACTTGGCTTCTATTATGCTATTTTAGATGAGGTTTTTTGCATTTTTGATTACATTTTAATAGGGTACATCAAGAGAATGTACACTAAGAAGGGATTTTTCGAAATTCCCCCCCCCCAGTGGGGGAAGTGTTATATATTTATAACATACATTTTGAGCTACAGCAACACATGGACGAGTCTGCTAGTAATAAATATACATGTTTTCAATTGGAATCTTATTGGAATATTTTTTGGAGTAATTTCACTCATTTGTTTAGCAGTATATTTCACTTCTTTACCACAAGAATAATAATAAACTAAAACGAGTACAAAGATGTATGTCTGATGGATGGTAAGAGAACTACATGAACATGCAACTCATTACATAAGTATTATAATAATAATGATGATGTTTGCAGAAAATAAAGAAAAAATAAAATTCCTAAAGTTTATTTATTTTGAAATTTTACTAATACAGGGTAAAAATTTATAACAAACAATTATCACCGAAATAAATTTTTATGAAACAATTTAAAAAATATAAACTTACATGATTTAGAAATTTACTATCTTTTGTGGCCCATCCAATTTGCATTACACCAGGTGTTACAATCATAACTTCATAATACCAGATACCATTATCAACTGGAAATGTACATCTAACACTTTCAAAGGAAGAAGCATCACATCTTGCCTATGCAGAAAAACACACAATAATGTAAATGATTCATATAAAAAAACTGGTACAGTAGAGCATCAATTATCCGACTCAATTGGGGACTAAGGTTGGTTGGATAACTGAAAAATGGATAACCGAAAAATATGAAAAAATATATTATTAGTATAGTATATTAGTATATCTCATGTAATTAGTATATTAGTATATCACTATTAAACTACTTTGCATTGAATTTTCATCTATTTTTTTTTCAGCCTAACAAAAATTTTTTAAAAATAATAATCGTCACTATTTTATTGTTAAAAATTAGAAAATTAAACATTGTTTAAATACTGGCTCCCTTTCATGGTCGAGCCAGTGTTGCCAGCTAAAACACGTAAAAATAATATTAAAGTAGCCAAGACATAGCCAAATATTGTAGCGCCACATCACTAGCGGACATATGAATTTGCCGACTAGAACGCGGTCGGTTAACTGATGTGACAGTTAATCGGGGGTCGGATAATCGATGCTCTATTGTATATATAAGTATCATATACAATAAACATAATTAGTTTAATTTATAATATAATATATAAAATTAAATAAAATTTATTTTATTACTGTCTTCTAAGTCAAAAGTTAATTATATTTTAAATTGTATATAAATGTTACTTTAATTAATATAAAATAAATTTCTGTAATATAGAGTTTAAATAATAAAACAAATCAAAACAATTATGACATTATCTTTAGTTTCAATTTCATTAGTAAAATGCAGAAAGTGATGTGTAAAAAAAATAAAGCATTGCATAGTCAAGCTATGACTATTGTTTTAAATGTACATAATTTTTTTTTAGTCATCAAAGTTCATGATATAAAAAATGAAATGAATAATGAGGTTGTAGCTTTATTAGGATGGTAATTGTCATGTCATATCTTAATCATCAAAATTCACTAAAATGGAGTCATTATATAGATAGGGAGTAATTACTGCAAATTTATCAGCTTTCAAGATATAGGTACAAATTCAAGTAGGTGTGTCTAATATCAATTATGGCATGACTGAATACATAGAAAATGAATAGGAAAAAGCTAACGGCAAGGTATGTATAAAATGTCTAAAATAAATTGACATACCTTAAATAAAATATTCTATCACCATGAAACTCAGCACACACAATGGGTATGCAAGATTTGCAATGAAAATTTAATATTTTGTTTAGGGACTTTTTAATTAAGACACAGCGACAACATAATGTACTAAAATACCTACTACCTACGTACACATAGTTAGTACATAGATCCCTCTAGTGGCAATACAACCTGTTATCTAGAGCAGCATAAAGTCAACTAACAGTATAATGTCTTATGACAGATTCAATCAGATGTTCTGCAACTGTTGGGTCAGTTTGTTCACATTACATATTGGCTGCAACTGCTTTCCTAACATCTTCCACAAACACTTGATTAGTGAAAGGTCTGGGAACCTGGCTGGCCATGTAAATATGTGAACACCATGAAGATATTGTTCAGAGATTCTTGCTGTATGAGACCTGGCATTATCATGTTGGTAAATAGCCCTGGAAGGTGTGACATCATAGGTAGTAAAATTGATTTAGAATGTTGTCAATGTACTTATGTAGGGTAAAAGTATCTTATAGCAGTACTAGGGGATTTCTGGACCACCATTCTAGATGATACTGTCTATACTAAGTAGTTAGCAGTAATTGCCTTAGCAGATGGTGGGAATGAAGTCCTGTCTCTTCCAGGCAATACTGAACGATGTCCCTTGATATTACAGGCTGCATAGAGAAAGGTATCTAATGTCATCTCTCCTAACACTATGAGCCATTTGAGCACTGGTCACTCTGGAACATCCAGATTCTTTATGATGGCTATAAGTGTCCTCCTGCATCCACTGCTGTCAACATTGTCTTACTGTTTCATAGCTTCTACATTTTCTCAAACCTATAATGTAACTTCTCTCAAACTCTCAACTTAATTGCATTTACTGCCAACAGAGGTATTGTTGAAGCAACTTTACAGACTAGAAAACACAAACAATCTTGTCAAATCTGTTTGTCAGTGCAAATAGTGCTTCTTATATAAATCCAAAGAATATGCTCTTAATTCCACTCTGTAAACATTGTGTTCACTGTCAAAGAAATTTTAATCATTTGTCTACTTATCAAAGGACATTTGCACACCAAGTTTCATGGTTCTTGCTCTAATTTTTAGAAGTGTAATGATTTTTTTCAATAGGTTATACGTCTGTGGTGCATCATGTTTTATAAATATACTTTTAGTAATTTTAGACAAGGAAAAACCTGTTTGATGAGTTTGTAATTGCAATTTAAAATCAGCATATAATATGCTCCATTGCTATCTGCAACCAGCTTTCAAACACACCCTGTAGATTAGCTGCACAAAATAGTAAATAAATTTTGTAAAAATTTAATAGATAAAAAATAAAGTTTGCATTTATTAATTAAATGTTGAATATCAACATGAAGTAATAAAAAGTGAAAACAAAATGAAAATTGAAAATTATGGACAAAAGATATAAAAATATAAGAATATAAATTTAAATACAAATACAGTGGTACCGCGGTATGCGTCTGCTTTAGAATACGTCAAATTTGGAATATGTCCTGTTTGGACAAAACAAATTTTGCTTGATACACGACTTTTGTTTGGTATACCACTTAATTCAATTATATGCGCCATCTATGAACAAGTAGCACTATTGGTGTACTAGACCAGACTAGACGTTTGCGGTGCCACAGTTTATAACTTTGTTAAATTTCTTCTGATTTTAATTTGTAAGTAAAATTTTATTATTTTTATTAATCATGAATTGCAAAAAGGCAAATGAAAAGCAACAGAAAACTAAAATGACTAGAATCACAATGGAACTGATAAAAGAGATTATTGAGAAATATGAAGGTGGCATGCATGTTCGAGATTTTAACTGTTGCATACCGTATTCCGAGAATGACGATATCGACAATCATGAAAAATAAAGACATTATTGAATCTGCTAACATTGCGAAAGGGGTTAAATCAATTTCTAAACAAAGATCGAAGACATTAGATCATGTCAAGAAATTGCTTTTACTTTGGATAATTGAAAAACAGTGTGCTAGAGACAACATATCAGAAGCAATTATTTGCGAGAAAGCTAAAAAGATACATGCGGATCTCATGAAAAATCAAGCAGGAACTAACCAGGAAAGTAAGGTGTTTAAAGCCAGCCATTTTTTTTACATGAGAACAGATTAATCATTTTTACATTATTTCTTATGGGAAAGGTTGGTTCGATATACGTCCTATTCGGTATAAGTCCAAACATCAGGAATGGATTAAGGTCGTATACTGAGGTTCCACTGTATAAAAAAAACATGCTAATTTCCTGTAAAAAGTGGTTATTTCTGTTTATTCTTCATGATAAACATTTATATNTTATTTTTAATAATTATTGATGAAATTTTTTTAAACAGTGAAATTGATTCTACAAGATATCAATGATGTTAAGTGAGGACTTGCTGTATTTTAAAGTTTTTTATTTTTGAGACAGTTAAAAAATAAAAAATACAGCAAGTCCTCACTTAACATCATTCATATCTTGTAGAATCAATTTCACTGTTTAAAAAAATTTCATCAATAATAATTAAAAATAATTACAAATGTACTTGCATCTTTCCTTGATGATGTTAAATGAGGACTTTGTATATCCTATACTACACTAGTTATGAGAACAGACTAATGTGAGGTTATGACAGTCAAAATCCCTCACCAAAACATACTTAAAAGTATTTTAGTAACAAGAAAAGAATGTTCATTTTAACTAAATAATTCTATATTTATAGGTATAGTATTTCATTGAGCAAGTAAAATATCCCACAGTTAAAAAGTATAATTTATTCAATTCTTTCTTCTATATATGCATTTCAGTTTGATGTGAACTCTCAACCCCTCTCTTCAGTGCTATATAATTTGTACATATTTTTTTTTTGTATGTAGAAGATATAGCACTGAAGAGGGATTGAGAGTTTGCGTCAACCCAAAATGCATATGTAAAAGAAAGAATTGAATAAATTGTACATTTTAACCTTAAAATATTTTACTTGCTGAACAAAATACTATACATATAAATATAGGATTACAGTAGAGCGTCATATATCCGAAACGTCGGTTAACCGAAAGCATTCCAGTCGGCAAATTTAAATTTTCACTAGTGCTGTGGCACTGCAATCTTTGGCTATATCTTTGTCTACTCCAATATTTTTTTTGTCGGTATGTGTGTTTTAGCTGGCAGCACTGGCACTTTTGTGTGGTGTTTTTCTGAGGACTGTGTGTGGTGCTGAATCGAATGTTTTTGATACTAGATCAACTTCTAAAGTATAGTTTTCTTGGTTTTTATATTTTTCAATATATTTATTTTGTTTGTAAAAAAATAAAGAAATAATTTTTAACAATACAATAGCCACGATTATTATTTTAAAAAGTTTATGTTAGGCTTAACACCGACGAAAATTCAACATGAAGCAACACGCAACAGAGAAAAATTTCAACATGGAATAGGTTAATACATTTTTTCGTACATACTCGGTTATCCAAAAAATAAGTTATTCGAACAACCCCAGTCCCCAATTGATTTAGATAAATGATACTCTACTGTATTTAGTTAAAATGTATAAGAATACAGCACAGCAAATCTATAATTAAATAAACAATATGCAAAATAAATCCATTGCAAAAGTGTATCATAAACAATGAACAATCGACTCTGTGAAAACCCAAGTTCAGGCAAATTCATGGGTTTGAATTCTAATAAATGTCAATCAGAAAAATCAAGATTTGACTCTGCTACTTGTAAAAATAACCAAATCTCAACAAAACAGGGAAAAGAACCTTTTTACACAAATATAAAACAATTGTATTATAGTTGTTAAAATCAGTAAAATTCTTAATGTTGTCAAAGAAAACATTATAGTTTAAGACATGAACAAACATCTGAAGGTTTGAACATTATTATTCCATCTGAGTAGAAGCAAGGTATCAGGTTGAATAATGGAGATTGACCTTACTTGTGCCCTATCTAGTTGTCCAGTTTCATCTGGATACAGAGCATGGACCAACTGGGAAAAGATAGACTATTGGGACCATTCAAATCAGTTAATTCGAGAATAAAATCCTTTATATAACCCAGATTTCAAGAACACAGAGTTAATTCTGATGAGTTCCTCATATTCCAAGCTGTTAGTCCTCTGTGCCCGTGTTCCATTTGTTTATGCATCTGCTCATCTTCAACTTCATCTCTGTTCCGCCACCATTATCTAGGCTAATTTCTAACCAGTCTCTGTATGTCCCACATCCAGAGTTGGCTACCAAGTTGCCTGGAGCTGCTGAATCCCTACCAAATCACCAAAGACAATTAATTATAGACTGAACTTTTCTCAAAGCAAAACAACTGCCACATTAGATTGGTTCATATTACTGCTACTATTAATAATTAATAGCAGCAATAATATAGAAGATCTAATCTGGACTATCAAGCATAAGGATATTTATTTTTAAACTTTTCTCGAGTGTATGGTCTTTGAGAAGTTTTCAACAGATTAGTGTAAGCATTATGTGTTTTAAGTACAGGTATTGCAGGTTTACTTAAAACAAGTAAAGGTGCTTTGTCTCCATGTTATCCACCACTCCCACACAACATCCTTTACCCTTGTTCTTCCTGACACAATTTTGGTTTAACACACCTTCCTTCTCATCAGCTCCTTATACTAATCACACTTTGGTTACTGGTTTATTGACACAGTTATACTATTGCTAAGCCAAAATAAATTTCAATCTTATGCTGCTCTTTAGTCAGCTACAATATAAACATGATTATTGCTAAAATAACAGACATAATGTAATTAGGGTGCTTTGACAACTGTAATGTTTTTATAGAAAGCATATTACAAAATATTTTTATATAAAAAATCCAACTAAAAAGGGCTGTATAGTTGAAATGCATTTTGCTTAGCAATAGTATAAATGTGTCAATAAACTAGTAACTAAACTATGATTTGTCTGTTTTATTGGTCTTGTAACCAGTGTAGTATAGAATAATCAGAATACAGACAAAAAAGAAAAACATTAATATAGAATTTCTGTATATTGATTATTTTAATCTAGTACTAATAAATTTAAATTAACCATGTAATCTTCAAAGTGCACATAATTATTCAAAGGATTAAAACAATAGAATAGTAATAAAAATATAAAAATAAGGATTTCAGTTGTAGAAAAAATATATATGTATATATATTAAAATTTTAATTTAAACTATTTTAATTTAATATGTAAGAAAAAAACAAGTAAACAGGACTTACAGTTAATCCATCAGCTGATATTTTTAAATATTCACTAACATCATTACTGTTGAGCATTGCATTTAATTTTGTGCGATCAACATGCTCATATGTAAAAGGCCTTCCCTAAAATAAAAATAAATTTTTGAAAATTATATTTAAAACACACACACACATATATCAAAGTATATTATTATTAATCATTTTATTGAATGATACAATGTTTATAAAATGAAAAGATATAGCTACATATATTTATATACATTAAAATGAAAAGATAATATAAAACACACACGCGCGCGCGCGCGTGTGTGTGTGTGTGTTTTATATTATCTTTTCATTTTAATGTATATAAATATATGTAGCTATATCTTTTCATTTTATAAACATTGTATCATTCAATAAAATGATTAATAATAATATACTTTGATACAATAATAATATTTTATATTTTTTAACATATAATACTAGGCCAGTTGGTCAAGTGATTAAGATCCTCTCTACCTCTCTGGAGAACTCAGATCAAATTTGGATGGGTTGAAAAACTCCAGGAATTTTTCTAGTAGTAGTTCATCCAGATACATTTGACCTCATCCCTTACTACTCAGCAACCCCATTGTAAGCCAGGTCATAAAGGACTCTTAGTGCTCACAGGATAAAGAGTTAAAATAAAAATTAAAAAATATGTATAATGCTAAAAGATTGTATTTGTTTTGCTAAAATTGATTTTTATACAAACGACAATAGTATAACCATGCATATATTTTTATATGAATCTCAACTGTTGATTCAGATGAGCACTATTAGTATATTTACACAATTAAATCTTTTAGTTCCATAAAAGATTCAAAATCTATAGAATTATTTTTCTATTATTTTTACTACTGAAGAATCATTGCAACTCTTCTAGTATTTCTACAACTTTTCTTTGATAAAATGTCCAATTTAACAAACAAACACAAAATAAAGAAAAAATATCCAAAATAAATCAACTTCACAAAATAATGTTGCTTAATCTGTTCCCATCATATCCAATTAGTAATTTATAAAATATTCAGGGTCTTGATGGATAAGTCAAAAACAACTGTAGATGTCAGTAAAGATATTCTGATGTAGATGTATTTAACATATAGTAAAATATACAACTGAAAAAATCCAAACTAGACAAATGCAATCATTATTATTATAAATAATTCATGAAATTAACATGCATAATTAATTTATATTATGTTTATAAAATATTTATAGATGTTGATTCACTTTCAGAAAAATGAAAACACAATTCTTTATATATTTTACATAAAATATTTAATAATAATTATGATATCAATGATTAAATTATCAAAATAGATGAGCTCATAAATCAGTATAATGTTTGAAAATTTTTGAAGAGCAATTACACTGTTGCAATTATCTTGGTTGACTTATTCCAGTGATTCCCAAACTTTTCCAAGCCACCATCTCCTTGGTTCCATGAACTTATGCCTCCAACCATAACCCAATGCTCCTAGCCCATTTTCCCTTGTGAGAGAAAGGCTTGAAAATATTGTTAGAAAAACTTTTCTATGAACCTCACACTGTGTCCTTACCATATATTGTTCTATACATCTTAAAACCATTAAACTCACTGTTTCTTCTTAAATGTTTTAACACTAAAAAAGGGAAAAATTGTCAGTGACTCCAATCCTTACCTATGGTCACCATTTGGCCAGTATCCTGCCTTCAGCACTCCAGCTGCCCATTTGATTCTTTTTGCACCCCATAGATTTATTCACCACCCACAGAGGGCAGTAGCACCCACTTTGGAAACCAGTGATTTATTCTAAACTAATCTTGATACTATAGTTATCTCTATCAAATATAAAATATTAAATAAATATTTTAATTTTATTCTGTTTGCTACAATATATTTTCTTCCCTATGAATGATCTAAATATATAAAATTACTTGTCCTGACTGACTGAGTCACTGATTCATCATTGCCCAGAGCAAACCACTGAACCTAAAGAGGTGAAATTTGGTACACAGTTAGGGTATGTCATGGAAACGCACACTAAGAAGGGATTTTTCGAAATTCTCCAGCGGGGCGAAGAGAGAGAGCATTAAAACTTAACCGGAAGAACAGCTTCTACTGTACTATTTTAAATGCGATTTTTTTGTTTTTGACTGCATTTTAGTAGGGTATGCCATGGGAATGCACACAAATAAGGGATTTTTCAAAATTCTCCAGAAGGGGGAGAGGGAGAGCATTAAGGCTTAACCTGAAGAACGACTTTTGAAATTGATTCCATACTTTCCCTTAAATTGATAACATTTCAGACATTGTTATAAACATTTTCATATATTTCGATTTTTTTAACCAAATGTTCAAACTGTTTTAAATTCGAATTTGTTATTGCATATTGGTTCGATTATAGAACGATTGTAAATGTTCCAGAAAATTGATCAAATTGAAAACAGTTTGTTTGATTCTCAGAAATTCTCATTATTCTCAGCGGTAGGTGTTATATAACAATTACTATGGTTGTTCAAATACTGAATATAAATGGGGTTTGCTTGCCTACCGCTGAGAATAATGAGAATTTCTGAGAATCAAACAAACTGTTTTCAATTTGATCAATTTTCTGGAATGTTTATAATCGTTCTATAATCGAACCAATATGCAATAACAAATCGCGGGTAACAGCTAGTACAATCATAAAAATAAGAAAATATGTTTTTACTTTAATTTTTTAAATAAAAACTTAATACTTATAATTAATTTGTATTATATCTTTTAATAAAAATAAATTTTTAAAGTACTCACCTCTTTTAAAACTGTAGTTTAGAGAGCATGGAAAAAAATATAAAATTACTATATATTATATAACATAGCATTAAAGATGATAACTGAATTTCAATAATACTATGAATAAGAATTTGATTTTCTGTCATTTTTTAAATATGTGTATTTTCTACTGTCATTCAATTTTCTTTTCATTTTAAATTTCAAACACTTCTATTAAGTATACAGTATATATATGAAATAAAAAATTGTAAATTTCAAAAATTTCTAGAATATCACTATAGTGATTTAAATTATTCATATTCAGCTTGATTTTTATATGTAATTAATACAGATATGAATAATTTTGCACTAAACATATGAACAATAATTAAGTTTTACTGCAATATGAAAAAGTGTGTATTACTAATGCTTTTGTTTTAATTAAAAACTATTCTTATAATTTATCGCTTTATTAGTTCTAAATCATAACAGAAAATCAATTTCTATTTTTAATATATTTTATTTTAAATAATAGAGAAAACTGTTTTAAAAATTTTAAAAATTATTATTATTTATAAAGACAAACTAAAAAACAAGGATTATTTTTATAGATAGTATTTTATATATCCAAACTAAACTTTATTAAAATTTTAGACATTTTATATCCACTGTATATACAGAACTGATTGGTATTTCAAATACTTTGATGATCCTAGATGATGATACAGCATACACAATGCTGTATCATCATCTAGAAGGATACATTTCTAATAATTTCAAAATATTTTGAGTACTTTATGAAAGAAATAGAATATGTTTCATTATAATAAATAGACTATATTTTTAAAAATCTTTTTCAATATATTTAAAATATTTGTAGGTAAATATAATCTGTCATTTTGCTACCAGATTATAGAAATAATACTGATTAGGTATTACTTACATAAATTGTCCAGGCACCATTGAGCACAAAATCCCACTTGGGATTTAATATAATCACAGTTATTCACCCATGGTTCTAACTTTATTAACGGATTTTCTTCTAATGATTCTAAATATCTATTAATAGTGACTTTATTTTCACCTAAAAACAAAAATTTTTAGCATATTATTTATTGCAAAAATACATTAAATTGCTTTGTGAAAGATTTCATATTAATTCCATGAACATCTTAGAAGTAAAAAAAGTCAATTTTAGTAAAAATTCTTAGCACTTACTTGTTTGTGCAAATTTTTCTAATGCAATTAGAGAGAATAAAATAACAGAAACATTATTTTCAGGATTCTACAAATAAACATTTTGTTAACATATAATAAAAACGATTTACAAATTAATCATCATCATCATTATTATAAATACAATAGCTCACCAAATTTGTAATAAGATATTCTAATGTTCCTTTGGTCAGTAGAGCTATACTGCTAGGACCTAAAAAATATATTTAGATCTTAAACACTGGTTATTATTCATTGTAAAAAAGTAAAAATATTCATTACTAAATTTTAATAATTGAATATTTTATTTAAAAACAAACCATATTTATAACATTTAAAAATCTAATTAAATCTTTTTTTAATTATATTCATTTAAAAATGGTGATAAATTTTCAAAGGTCAGGATCAAACATTCCACTTAACTTTTTCATGAAATTATTTAACACTTTAATAAAACATAAAAAGTATTCAAATATTTATATTTAATATTTTAAAGTAAAATTTATATCAACAGGAAATTACTCATATCTGTTTCCTTGACAATCAGACAATCATCAATCAAAGTCCAGCATTTCTATAAAATGTAATTCTGTATTTTAAAACTCAATGCAAATTATATATCTAATGTAAAAAGTTATAATGAAATAATGTTTTCTGGACATGTTCAAGTCTAATTAGTTGTAAATAAAAATAATCATAGTTGCTATATAAAATGTTTTATTTATCAATCATAAATTCAAACTGATATTTATTTACAGAAAAATTATTGTAAATTTTATCTGTTCATTATATTAATTCAATTACTTTTATTTATGTAATTTAAGTGAAATATTTTTTCTAAATTTGTCAATAAATAAATAAACAGAAATATTTATAGATACTTTCCTATATTATTTGGTTTTCTTTATCATTTCTTATTATCACCAATCATATGCAATACATTAAATATATTTTAATTAAAAAAACAAACATTTTATTTAATATTTTATAAGATATTGATTGCCATGTAATAATGTTTTGAAATTTTAAAACCAATTTAAAGCATGAAAATTATAAAAATGAACTTTTCCAGACTATGACCATTTAATGTAAAATTTTTCATTTTTAATGGAAAAAACAGAAAATACCATAGTTTAAGGATTAGGCACATAATCCACATATTACTATAGTCATCAAAGGCGATCGTGTGGCAGTGGTGAGGGACGACTATAGTCGTCAAATTTTTTTGGGGAGAGGGTATCGCCAAAAACTAGCCTAAAACTACTGTGAAAAAAAATTCACATAAAAAATGAATTATGTAACAATAAAAAATGATTCTTCTTTACTAGACATAACTGTTTACAAAATCTTTTTCTGAAACAGTAAAGAGAAAAAACGCGTGGAAAAATACTTTAAAAATTTTCCACGTTTATTCTCCGCTACTGAGGTAGAACCATACCCAACTAGTCCACTGTTGAAAGGTTATGGTATTGTATAAGTTTTCTGGAAATTGATAAAAAAATTAATTAACTTATTTTGAAAATAACATCCATTTTAATAAACCAGCAATGAGTTACTCAACTTTATGGCAACATTTAAAATTTTGGTAACACATCTGTTACCATATGTTATTAAAAAAAACTTTTTATATTTTAACTATTATAAAATGGCAAAAATCTTAATTTTGAGGGTAGGGATGGGTTTTCCAAAAATTTGTAAATGCTAATAATGAGTAAAATTGTCATTAAGTCCAACCCTACCAGAGATACACAATCCCCATTATCTTTCCACTCTCCTTGCCAAAATTAATAGCTTCAATACCCCTAATACACAAACCTCCCTGCAAAATTTCAAAATTTTTGACAAAAAGCACAGGAGTTATTAAGCTTCAAAGAGGGTAAACAAAATCATGCTACCTACACACACACACACACATACAGAAATTACCCTCCTGAACTTTTTGCATTTCTCAACATTTCAAGGTGTCCTAAGTACAAAAATGTAATAATCTTGGGGGTCATTTTTTGACCAATCACCATACTTTCCCTCTGTTAACAGCCAGCAAAGTAAAAATGTTATATAACAGTATATTTTGTTTACAATTAGTTTTCACCCTAAATCATCCATTACTCTCTAGACTAATTTAAAAAACACATCAAAAGCTTAAATGGTTCTATTCAAAAATAACTATTTGTGTAACTGGCTTCATTGGGCTGCAATTTGAAAAATTTGTAGACAAATTCCCACTGTTATCTGTGTAACCTTTATACTAAGATATTGATACTACCTGGCTTGGTATTCCTGGAACTTACAATTTTTATGTTTATATGGGTCAAAAAATGAAAGGAATGCATGGGTGAATTTAAAGTGAAGAATGGATTTGCCACTTCAAACTTTTTAATACTGTATTTCTTATTATGGTGATAAGTTTATCTTGTAATGAAATAAACAAAATATTTGTTGTGAAGAAAAATACATAATGTTGTGAAGAAGTATCCATAATAGAGAGTTTGTAGAGTGTGACATAGTCATTAGTGAGCATAGAACAAAATATTTAATTCTGTAAAGTTTAATTGAAAAAATTATTCAGTATCTGATTTTTCAGCTGAATTAGTACAGCAAAAAATGATACTGACATAAGAATTTCTTTACATTCAAAATTTTAGGTATTAGAATTTTTGAACATATTTCAGAAGAAATAAAAAAAAAAAAAAAAAGCATTTTATAAAAATAATAGAAAATATGCATAAATATGCATAGTTGATGAATCTACAACATTTTATAAACAAAGTGTTAGTGCTTTACCTACATATAGTGCTTTCTGAGTATGTGTGCTGTTTGTCATTTTTGAAGAACTACCTTAGTTGACTATATAAATATTAATCTGATTTCAACTCTAAGTCATTACAGTTTTTCTAAAAGATATTTGAAAGAAAATCTTATGGGATTTCAACAAGACTTTTAGAACAGTTTCTAAATATTACTTTGCATTGTTTGGCTCACTGTTTACAGTTAGTTTTAAATGCAGAATATATCAAATTTTGGTAGTTTTATTGTTTGTTTAATATTTTTGTAGTTTGAGAAATTAAGTAAAACAAACAATTATTTATTTTGACATCACAGTGCTGGGCTGCAATTTTTAATTTTATTTAAAATATATGCTCTCCACTTCAAATTAATAGTGGCTTTTCCCTGTACATCATACTTTTCCTTTAATGATAGTTGTGCTGGTCATCTATTAACTGCTTTCAGGGGAAAGTTTTGAATTGAAATAGCATGCCTTCTGATTTGCATCAGAAGTTTATATATAGTTTGGGGCAACCTGCCCCTAAAGTTTCCATATCTGGTTCTATCCAACTCCATTCTTGAGATTAAGAAAAGCTAAGTGAGTAAAACTATTTTGATGTTCTGAGGGATCATGAAATGTGAATTTAGTGACTCTTCATAAAATATAAATAAAACTAATTCTCATTTATGTCTAAAAAATATAAATAGTAGTTTTAAAGTCTTGAATTTAAAATTTATTGTTTTTTTTCTTATATTCATGTAGCAAAACTATATTTATACACTGAATATTTACGAATGTATACATAAAAATAAAATAAAAAAATACATATATATATATATAAATTTAAGCATAGCATTTTATAAAATATTATATGTAATATATATAATTAAAACAACATCTGACTAGTATAGTTCTCTTTAAACTCTTAGTGATTTTAATTATGTAGATACTCATAAGTTTTAATCCCAGTCTAATAAAATTTAAATAAAAAAGCAGTTTTATTTTCTCAATAAACATATGAAATCAAATCACTAGAATATGACTAGACTAATTAAATCATTTTATAATTGTAGAATTTAAATACAAGCTAACATAATGCCATCTGCTGCTAATATTAATTATTAATAAATTTAAATAAACTTAAATGCTGATGTTTAAAAAGTTATTACTTTATTGTGTAACTTATTTTCAATTTGAATTATTCATTTAATAATTTTAAAATTATAATTCTTTTATTTTGAAATTAAAAATATTTATATTCTTCTTTCATCATAGCAAATATATAATTAATTGAAAATTAATACAATCAAACCTTGATAAACACTGATGACATGCCATGCTTACTGACCTCCAAAAAAATATAATGAAATAGATCATACTAATAGGTAAAAGCATACGAAACCCTCCACTAATATGCCATCCACCAACTATATTGAGTAGACAAAGTCCTTTAACATTACTTTTGTCTTCAAATATGCACCATATACAATACTTCTAGATTTCTGGATTCAACACTAAAATGGTCAAAAGTTTATACATGTTTGATGAAGACCTATCTTCTACATACATGTGTACATGATATGTAATGTATGATATATAATACACATTGAGTAAAATCAACGTAAAAATTTATCAGGAGTTGGGTTATGCAGGAATTTCTTGGAGAAAGGATACTCAGTAATCCTTTCTTGGAGAAATTAGAGGGGAGAACTCCCCCTTGATGGTATGTACCATTATGTTAATTACAGTAACTTGCAAATCAGTTATCATCAAGATGCTCTTGTTCAAGAATGAACTTTGCTCCTAATAGAACTGATAAGTAACATTAAAATTAGCATAAGCCATATTAATCATTTACTGTTCAGGAAGATTTACAACAATGCTTAGTACTTTTTCTTGTTTTTGACTTGATGTCATTTAAATTAAATTTTTGCATTTCAATTGTTTTGTTTCATAAAGAATACAATGCTCTGTTGTATGTTAGGTTTTATGCTATTCTGATCAGTAGTTCTTAAGACATAGATCAAATTAATGATTATGCTTATTTTTTGTTCATGAGTGTGTATATTATAGAAAAGTCTAAAATTTTCTAAGATACATTATTTATCTTACACCAATTATTTTTAGGATAACCTAGGATGTCAAAACTATAGAGTGAATTAAAATAATAAATATTACAAAAACATAAGAACTAATATATAAATATTCTTATATAATAGAAATTACAACTAACAACTATCAAATTTATCACAACTAACAAATGTATGTTTAACATGTTTATAGATTATCATCTTTTATTTCATTGTTTTTTAACTTACCTGCCAGTTTTTCAGCAATGCAACCTAATACTACACAAATATTTCGATGAGTGGTAGGATCTACTTTTCCAGTCACAGATAAATCACTTGATAATTTAAACATTCCAGGTAACAGTGCAACAGATTCCTGTAAAATAAATTGAGAACTAGTTACTAATTTTAAAAAATATAATAGTAACTTTCAGAAAATAACATATGTGATTTGACAATTGCAATAATTACATACTATTTTAATATTTCAGTAAAAAATTTAGAAAGTTACAGCATATATAACTTATTATTTTCAATTTTATTCAAATTCTTTCAATGTTAATTATGTCACTTCTAATAATTATTTACAAATAGATAAATTATCTATTCACAAAAGATGAGTATGACTATTCTAACAAGATATTTCTTTATATTATACTATTGATAATGCTTATTAATAAATAATAGAAATATTGCACTTACATATATGATATATACAGGGTGTCATGTAACTGGTGGTACAAGTCAGTAGGTAATGATTCTACATGAAATACTGAATCAAAAATATAGAATAAAATTTTTTCGTATGAGGTTTTGTTTCCAAGTAAAATGGCTTTGAAAGTTTATTGAGTACCTATGCACCTGATCAAGATTCAACTCAATGGATATCACTATGATATTTTTACTGTCAAGTGTTTTGAAAACATTATTGTGTTACTTGACATATTTAAAAACACTGCTGACTATGTTTTTTGTATCATTCTTACTCTTCTCTTATACTTTCAAGTCAAACTCTTTCATAATGCTGTTTCTTTCATAGTGCCAAAATAATTACATACAGCAATTGACAGTATATGAACATGATTCTTGCATTAAGTGAATGTGGTGAAAATGCTTCTGCCACAACTAATTATTACAAAGACCAATATCCTAATCACTGATATTCCAACAGGAGAGTTATTTAGAGAGCAGAACAAAATCTTGCAGAATACTTCTTTTTAACCACTTTACCAACAAGGAGGCCACATCTGCCTTCACTACTCAACCCATTTGATTAGTAGAGATAATCTATATGAAATCCATTAATTACATGTAGGATCGAGTATGTATATACTTGATCAAGTACATACATACTCGATAAACTTTCAAAGTCATTTCTCTTGGAAACAAAGCCTTGTATGGAAAAATTTTATTCTATATTTTGATTCAGCATTTCATGTATAATCACCACCTTCCCATTTGTATCACCAGTTACATGAGTATTACATATATCAATTCATATATCCATATGAAAAATAATTAATTTAAAAAAGTAATCAAAAAGCTTGCAAAAAATAAATGCTTCATAATAATAATATTTTAAAGATTATATATTTTTTTATTCTATGGAATTTAAATTAGATTTAATTTCATTAAAAAAAGGAAAGATAAAATTTAGAGGAAAAAATTCTTAATGTATGTGGGGGACACAAAAATAACTGGATTTTTTGTATAAAAACTTTATTTATTAACTTTTTTATAAAATTTTTTCAGTCATCTTCAAAGTACTCTCCATTACATGTGATGCACTTGTGAAGTCTTTTTCCCCACTGTTTGAAGCATCTCTGGAACTCTGCAACCTTGATATCGTCCATGCCCTTAGCGAAGCTGTTTTTACTGCCTCCACATCATCAAAAAGCTTCCTTTTTTGATTTTTCTTCATTCTCAGAAACAAAAAAGTCGCACAGGGCTAGGTCTGCTGAATATGGAAGGTGGGGAACAACAGGCCAAATAGTGAGTCACTCATAAGGCCGTGTATGTGGGGGCATTTTTGTGATGAAGGAACCAGTCTCCTGATCGCCAAAGTTCTGGGCGTTTCCTTCACACATCCTCTCGCAGACGTCTTAACACTTTTTGGCGGATTTTTTCAATGTTTTCATCGTTTCGAGATGTTGAAGGACTCCCAGAACTTTGCAGGTGGAACAAAATAACAGCAAGAGAAACACAATACTATGCTCAAACGTAAACCTACAAACTGACACCGCTTACACAGCTGTTCTGTGAAGGTCTCTACTAATCCCATGTAATGGGAGAACTCTCTACTACGTCTATGAATGGCAATGTGCTCTCAGTTTAGTTTTTTTTGGGTCCCCCTCATATATCTTTTTCCCTGATATTTATAAAACTGATATATTTAGAAAACATAATATGATAAAATATTTGAAATAATCATCATAAATATAAATATAGAAGCTATATTCTAATAATATATAATATAAGAAGTAATAAAATATGGAATCTTTGCTATACTATTGCATATTTGTTTTCATAATTTTTGAATAATATAAATTACAAAAATAAATATATTTATATTTTATAATTCAATTTTACACTCTTAATATACATATTTTATCATGAAAAGAAAAAACAACTCATACTTTTGTTGGTAATGGACAATCATCCAGTAATAAAGTTATAACTGCAGGACCAAGTGGGTCATCCATAGGAATAACATGAACCATAGAATTGACAACAGTTAACCAACCATTTTCTTTTTCTGCTATTACATGAAGTTTTACCATTGAGGGTGGTGGTTCTTGATCACTAAAACGAGATTGTCTTATTACAATTCAATTATTAAATATTCCCAAGATAAATATAAAATGTAACAATCAAATTTTACTTATGATTAGAAAATATAGTTCAAAAATAGTAATATACTAATGATTAAAATTAATATTAAACAATTTTAATGGATATATAGAGATTTACCACAAAGAGCTTAATGATAGATTTGCAGAATCTATGAAAAAGTAAACAAACATGGCAGAACTCCATAGATACACAAAACAAAATCAAAATTATGCTTTAATAGAATTTATACTGTACAATTAAAACTTTTAAAAATGCTTTCACAATATAAAACCCATTGGAAAACAAAATTCACAGTCAATGGAAAAGTTGCAAATATGTTATTAAAATGATATTTTGTGGCAAGATCAGACTTTTAGCTCTGGCTTCCATTAACCAATCAAGCACTAGTTTATCTAGCTCTTCATTTTTTACTTTCAGATATCACTTCCAATTAGGGATGAAGTTGTGATGCAACTGCTATTTCTGTACATTTCTTAAAAATCAAAGTGTCAAAGGTGATGTTCTAAACAACTTTGCTATGTCCATCTTTATCCATCAACAATTATTTTAAAATTATTTAATTTAACATCTGTTGATAGCATCTGCCTTTTCTTTAACATGAACAATCATTTAGTAAAAGGGTATTTAAATATAAAAGTTTACTCTGCAGATACACAAACTTTTTGCACACCTTAATATTGTATAAACCACATTTTTAAAGCTGATTTTATAGATCATCTAAAGAAATAAATGTATCTTGTCCAACTAAACATTCTTCATACTGTATATAAACTCTTTGATTAATAAATTAATTAAAAAAACAAAATCCAAACCGTTTAAACATTTCAGTTTTACTGTATTTTCAATAAACCTGCTGAAATTAAAATGTTCTGTTTCTTAGAATGTAGTGTCATTTCTTCCATTCCAGATATTTATCCATATTAAACTAAAAGGAAGTAAAAGTATGTTTGGTAAATTTACAATAATTAAACTGAAAGGGGACTACTGTTTTTTATTATTATTATATTACAATCAATGCCAAAACATGTTTTTAGATACTGAGTTATTTTTAGGTAAAATATGGGAAAATAATAGTTTCAAAATTTGCAGGATATTTTTATCATTGAGTAGAATATTTGTGAAAATATATGGAGAAAAGTTGCAAATTTGAGAAGTGCATATGCTATGGTATCATATGGAGTTAATCTAATTAGAAATAAATATTATAATTTTTAATATTAATTTGATAAATAGAGATTGTATGATGTAAAGAGGTTTGATAACTATAAGAATTTGCTGCATTAGCTAAATTTTCATAAAAATCATTAAAATATAGCCAATACTTGAAATATTTGTATGATATCATACAAATATACACAGTGTGTGTTAAATAGAATGCAACCCCAGTTTAAAGCAAACAGGCATACAAATACTGCCTAGAAAGTCTGACTTTCACTCACATGTTAACATAACTGTATGGTTCTCGTTTGCAATTGTTGTTTGGTTGTTTGCTATTATTGAAACAAGCTCTGATATAACACTTTCTCCAAAACAGGGAATTTTCATTTTTAAACATTATTTCTCTGATATAAAACAAGAGTTTCCTGGTTTGCAAGCATCCAACAACAGTTCAATCAAAAGTTTGGTAGACAAATTTTGCCATGAAGATACATTGATGAATTTATTGTGTAACAAAAAACTCAGTTTTAATACTTGAAAGCCTTAGAAATTCACAAAAATAATTCAGCAAAACACTAATTTATCCATTTGTAAACTAGCAACCATAGTTAAAACATCTCTTAAATCTGTACACTGAGCATTAAAAAAAAATCTATGTATTTGTACTGTGTACATATCCTACAAGAAAAAACTCCTTGATTGTGGAAAAAAGTGCATTTTGTTAATTGGTTTCACAAATTAACTAAAAATGGACCTGGTAAATTAATATCTTTTTTATAGTGATAAGGCATAGTTTTCCTTCTTGGGATATGTTAACAATCAAACATTTTGAATTTGGTTCACTGAAAATCTGCACATATATCAAGAAAGAGGACTGCATCTGAAAAAACTTGGAATGTGTGGAATTTCATGGAGGATAGTAAAATAAATTTTTTTTTTTTGACAGTAACAGAAACAGCATAGCTTACCAGAACATCACAACTCAATTCATTAGTATGTTGAAACTATCAGAAAGATTTTATTGGTTTCAACAAATATTTGCATATGTCTGTGGAAAAAATGGCTTTCTTATCCAAATTTTCACTGAGCAAATAATTTTGACTTGTGTTTAGTCCACAAGAAGTCTGACATAACATACCAGGTAAGTTCCTGTGGGGTCATCTAAAAAGTATTTAAAAAATGATCCTTGTACCATAGATGAATTGAAGATCAAAATGGAATCTGATATTCAAAATCTCACTCCAGAAAGATTGCAAAAAATGCTTTGTAACAGGTAAACATTTGTAAAACTATATGGTGGTCATTTTTAACATTTTTTATAAGAATTTCATACCAAAATGTCATTCATGCATATATAAACATACATAAATATATGTACTCCACATACAGTATTTTGTATTACATCAGAAATTTTCAATGTTTCATTTGCATACTGCCAAAAGATGTGAAAAGTTTTAGCAAATTGAGTGAACTAAGAAAGTGAAAAGTATAGTAAAACATTTCACATATTAATATTACTTCAAAATTGAACATATTTTTTAAAAGATTTAATAGAGTACACATCAGACTTACAAAATAATTATCATTTAACTTTTTTCTAAGTTTTAGTGTAAAATCTGCTACTGTTTTTTGTAAATTACTTTTTCAAGTTATGAATATAGTGATGTTTCAACAAGGTGCATTGTGACATCAGAATCCTTTCAATTTCTATATTTTGCTCTAATTTCTGATATAGATGAGAACATTTTTTCACATAGATACAGTCTGAAGAAAGTAACAATTTTCTTGCTGTGCTCTGGCATTTATTCTTCATGTAAATCCAGAATTGTGCCAGACAGATTGATTTTAATTTGAAAGTAAAATAACAGAAAAAGTTCAATAAGAGCTCCTCCAGGCTCACTGTACAAGAAAAGATGGATGGATCAAACATTCATATATTCAATTATGAAAGATCTTCATTTTGTGGATAATACTGTTCAAAATTTTCAGGCAAGACTCCTAGACATTTGTTCACAGTAGAGATCTTTCTGATTAATATCAAGTGAAATTAAAATTTATGATAATGAAACATTTCAAAAATTCTCCTTCAAGCAAATCCTGCACCCACAATAAAAGTTTATGGAATGCTTCCCACTTTATTTCAAAGAATAAAAACATTTTTCATATTTTCTTGAAATAATACATTAAGCTTGTTAACAAGAGAAAATATGTCCATTAAATATGCAACCCTATCCATTCAATTTTCTTCTAACAAAAACTTTAAATGGGATGTATTTTGCATACGAAAACTTGCCATATTTTTCTGACGTTCAAAGAACCAAAAGAGACTTTACCTCTTGATAATCATCTAACATATGCATGGAGAAAAAGATGGTGTTTTCAGAATCCAACAGTTTCACATAGTAATGTAAAAAGCCAAGACTTAAGACCAAGCCTCAAATTTCATTTATGATTTTTACTGCATCATTGAGAACTTTATTTAGTTCAGCAAAGTATCTATTCAAAACTAAATGTTTCCAATAGCCTATGCAATGAATATACAACATATCAGAATGAGCAACATATCTTAATTTTGTTTCAACACCAGAATGATGCCAAGTCATGGTTGCAGCATCACTTGTATCTATTCCAACAGATATATTCCAATCCAAACTGTATTAAAAAAAAAAGAACAGCACAAAACTTCATGTATACTTTTTCTTTTGCATATCTCACTTAGCAAAACAGAATAACATGGTTGCTAACATCCATTTGAATGGCAAAATATTTGGAATTATTATTCCTTCAATAACTTGTTCTTTAATATCCATGCCAAAAATTCTTCGTTGTATTATCCAATGATGGAATAATATCTAGACATTGCCATAACAGCCTTGGTTTGATATGAAGCTTTGTCTTCTAATAATGGTCCAATTTCGAATTCTTTTAGCATCAGCTAATACAAAAGTATATTCTTATCATTAACATTAACAGGAATGTAATCCTTACCATTATAAACAGCAAATTTTAAACCCAAACAATTTGACAGACACAGTTTATTTAACATTCCCAAGAACTGATTGGATGAGTTTCTTAGAAGACAAGTATAGGAAAAGTAACCTTAACTTCTATTTCTTCTCAAAAAGCTAGAAAGGAAATGAGAATAAAAGAGTATGCCTAATCTTTACAAACAAGAGAAATGGGTATAGTAATATAAACAAAAAGGTTTTGTTATGTTTAGGAAACTATTGTTTTTTGTTCTAGCCATGTCTATGTTATCAGGATGTTTCATAAGTAAGCAGTGTAAGTTAAAAAGTCCATGTATAATTCTGCAGCAGGTTGAAAGCCCAAAATGTCACTCACAACTTGAAAAAGGCAAAATTTTATTACTTCCCAACAGTGTTTGGTGTTTTAGTTTTGATAATTCTGACAATGTAAGCACAAAAATTCCTCAGGAAGCTTTGTCAATCATCATTGCATTTTTAATAAAATTTTTCTAAATTATAATTTCTTGTGGCACTTCTTTTTGAATAATTGTCAAAAAAAGTCCAAATATTTGTTTGTGAGATCCCTGTTTTGTACTTAAATGTCAAGCAAAGTTTCCAGTTTCATTGCAACATTAGAGAATCTCATGGCACAACACATAAGCCAGAGTATATTTTTACTCACAGGTATCCTAATGAATGCAAACTTCAAGTACTTCTTTTTATACTATCTAATAAAACTTCCTTTTACTTAACTTTTCCTACATGTCCATATTCATCATCAAGTTTCTCTTTTCCATTGTATCTTGGTCTTATATCTTAGTTACTTTTTTCATCAATTTTTTATTTTCAAAAGATCCCATTATGAAAAAATTTTAGAATTGATTGTTGTGTCATTTTAACAATGTCTGATATCCTATTTTAAGAGATTTCATAAAAACGTAAAACATTTTAATCATGGAGAAAAATTAATAACCTCAACAGTATATAATAAATACTGTATATTTAAAGGTTTGCAACAGTATTTATGTTTATATTAAAGATAGGTAGCTTTAATTGTTGAATAAGAAAGTCTTTAATTTATACAGAAAACTTATATTTACAAGATTCAAACTGAAAATTAACATTTGCAAACCTTACATTGTCAAATCACAACTAAACTGAGTGTATGAGTGTCAAATGAACTTCTGTTAATTATTAACACTATTCAAAGTTCAAATGCAAATACACCAATATTGCATCATTTATGTTGAGTTTGATGCCTCTGAGTTCCATGCTCTTTTAATTATAATGTAAAATTTTATTGATATGTTAAATTAAAATTCTTAAAATATGAAATTTCATATTTTTAATAAACCAATAAAATTTAAAGAAATATTATTCTGAATTTTTAATTCAAAAACTTTAATATTATCTTATCCAATTATCTTTATTCTCATATTTTTTGCAAACTGGTAAAAATATTTGGCAGCCTAGTATCAGTCTACAGACTGTCAGTTGAAAAACACTGCATTATATATCACACAGAGCCGTAACTAGGGTATGGCCAACGTGGCCCCCGCCATAGGCGCTGATTTAATAAATGCGCCAATGAGAAGTTTCGAAATAATATGTATTGAAATTAATCTCTTCGTAGACTGTATATCGTAATAATTACACTACTCATACACCTTATATAATACAGCCAAATTTATTATAACACTTCAAACGTTTTCGGACATCTTTAATGCCCTTTTTCAAGAACGAACCAACGAAAATCGAATCTTGGCGAATTCATAAAAACGATAAATGCGTTTTGGAACGCTATTTAAACAAACTCTTATTGCGCAGAATCGTGCCGTTTGTTTACCATTAAAAATAAAGAATACTAACAATAACCACTAATATGATACATCAACCATACATATATGAACCTAACATAAATAAAGACAACAATGCTAAATATAACCATAAAATCACTAATAATAATGCACGTGTAGCCCGATTGCACCTTTCCTATGCATGCTTTTCCAAAATTCGTCTTGCTATTTCTATTATTTCGCTCCGTTATATTAAGCTCGATCTCCATGCTTCCGATATTTTACTTGCTTCTCTAAAGTTAATTGCTTGTCCTTCTTGACTATTTTTACAAATATGCCACGCCTCTGCGTATTTGAGATGCCTTTTGTCGTGAATTTTTTGTACTAACTTTGCCTTATCCCACTCTGCTTTAACTTCTGTAGGGTCTGCTAGGATGTATGTCGCTAGCGCTGTGACTGGCTGCTCATTTCGTATGTTTCGTTTGTGCTCTATCATTCTTTCTTTGAGCGATCTCCCTGTAGCTCCAATGTAAAACAGCTCTTTCTGTCGCCTTTTATCTGTTATTGGAACACTGTATACTCCGGGCAGAAGGTTTCCGTCTACCTCGTCTTTGTCTGTTCTTAACATTTGGTAAACTGTTGGATTTCTTTTGTAAATTATTTTCTTTTTTGTTGCTGCTCCTATTCTTTTGTATATATTATTTAACTGCGCCCTGTACTCCATCATCGTATACTCTTCCCTTTTATTTCTTAGATTGAGCTCGTTGCTGCCTGTTTTTGTTTTGTTGGTTATAGCCTTAAT